GACATCATTCCCGTGAAGTAGACGAAGTTTCTCCAGTGATTCCAGTGTATAGCCATGTCCTCCCAGGTGCGTAGCCATGCACTCCAAGGCGTTGATGTAGATACAGAATTTCCAGAGGGTTGGTCCTGATCAAAGCATTTCTATTGACTGCCCAAGGGCCTGCTGACCTTCCTTCAGTATATGACCTGTTTTGGGAGGCGTGAGTTGGCCATTTGGATGGCACGGCCAGTTCATCGGATGTTGCTGCTGCATTCTGGCGGTAACGTTGGCCTCCTCCAAGACACTGGTGTTACTGCGCTTGTCTTCCCAAGTGATCTGCACGGTTTTCCGTTGGGATCTCTGCTGGCGGTGTTCCAGTGCTTTAAGGTGCCTGCTGTAGCTAGGCCATGTTTCAGCTCCTTGTGGCTTTGGAGACCAGAGCTTAGCCTAGGCCTAGTTGGGCATGGGCTTCAAACACCCTTCTTCCGAGTTGGGTTTAGACATAGCTCACACAGTGTTGTATTTCTGCATCAATGTTGGCCTTGGAAGAGAGAAGGCTGCTGAGGTATGGAAGTGATTCAAGGGGATGGTTGTAGGAGGGCTGGAAGGACTGTTAGCTGGTGGTTGATGGAGCACTAGAGTCTCTTTTCTTTTAATGTTACAGATGAGGCCTAGGAACAAAACAATCCAAGATGCACTAGATTTGCTGCAGAGTGTGCTGTGTTGGCGTTGTTGTTAGCGTATTGACGCTCCAGCTGGACATGGTGTAGGCTTTGGCTTTGGCCTTGAACCTATTAATGTTAAACAGCCTGCCATCCAGACCATTTGAATTCCCTTGGTCAGGTTTTGGCCAGTGAAATGGAGGATGGTGGCAAAGAGCTTGGCGAACAGGCTGGGTGCGATGACGCAGGCCCGTCTCCACGGTGAGAGGCTCAGGCTCCGATCCACTGTTGCCAAGCAACGTCGCAGACATGTCGTCATGCAGCAACCTCAACATTACGACAGTATCCGCCAGGCAGCCTGGTCGTTAACAGTGTCACAGGCCTTAGTTAGGCAGATGAAGGCCGTGTAAAACGATTGTTTCTGTTCCTGATGTTTTTCTTGACGTTGACGTGCTATGAAGATCATGTCTGGATGAGTGGAAGCCACACGCTGATTCAGGGAGTATTTCCTCAGATAATGGCGGCATCCAGCCAGCAGTTGACAGAAGGGAGATGCCTCTATAATTCCGACAGTCGCCCTGTTTATACATGGTCACAATCGGAGCATCCCCAAACTCTGAAGGGAATTCTTCTGTTGAGACAAGTCTTCAAGAACAAAGCTGTATGTGTTCACAGAGCTGTGGGTCATCCTCCTTTAGCAACATCAGGACCAGCTCCCTTGTTGTTCCTTAGGCTCCTTCTGGTGTCTTGGACTTTGGTTGCACTGGGAAGTTCTCCCATGTCACCTTGCGTGGATCTCTGGGAGATTCGGTTGGCGATTTCCAAGTTAGCATTGGTTTTCCGGTTGAGGAGTTACTGGGCAAGCTCTCCCCAGTGAAGGTTTATTGCGTTGATGTCCTTGAGCAGTTTTTAATCTGTCTTTAGAGCACAGAAGGTTTAGACCATGGTGACTTGGACCATATACCAGCTTGGTGGCACTGAAGAAGTCTCTTGTGTCACTGGCATCTGCCAACTACTGGATTTTGAAAGCCTTATCTGTTCACCATTTGAATTTGAGCTCCCTTATGCTCTTTTGGACATTAGCTCTGGAATAGGCCCTTCCTTTGGCCTTGTACTTGACATCGTTCTGCCAATCACGGAAGGCCATTCTATTCTTGGCAATGGGCTTTCTACGTCATTCTCATTGAGCCAGTCCTGATGGTTTCTGGGCTTGGTGTTATTGCAGGGACTGAGAATGGTTGATTCAAGCAGATTCCAGTGCCCTCTGACCTCTGGGTATTCCCGAGGTGGGTATTTTTTTTTTTACCAAGTGAGACCTGTCCATGTTGCGTAGTGACTGTGTCACCTTGATGTTGAATCTGGGCTTGTTCTGAACCCTGCTGTTCCTATGGAGCCTGATGGACATTGTGGAACAGAGAAGATGGTATTCACGTCCTGAAAGTCCCTGGAGCGAACAATGACACAAACAATGAGATGCCATTGTTGCACAGAAACATAGAAAACAGGTGCAGGAGTAGGCCTTTCGGCCCCTCGACACTGCACCACCATACAATACGATCACGGCTGATCATGCAATCTCTGTATCCCATTCCTCCCCTCTCCCCATACCCCTTGATCCCTTTTAGCCACAAGAACCACGTCCAGCTCCATCTTGAATATATCTAAGGAACTGGCCCCAACAGCTTCCTGTGGGAGAAAATTCCACAGGTTTACAACTCTGAATGAAGAAATTCCTCCTCATCTCAGTCCTGAATGGCTTACCCCTTATTCTTAGACTGTGACCTCTAGTTCTGGACTTCCCCAACACCAGGAACATTCTTCCCATGTCTATCCTGTCCAGTCCCATTAGGATTTTATATATTGCTATGAAATCCCCACTTGTTCTCCTAAACTGCAGTGAGTATAAGCTCAGTCAATCCAGTCTTTCCTCATATGTCAGTCCTGCCATCCCGGGAATCAGTCTGGTGAACCATTGTTGGACTCCCTCAATAGCAAGAGCATCCTTCCTCAGACTAGGAGACCAAAATTACACACAATACTCAAGGTGTGGACTCACCAAGACCCTGTATAACCGCAGCAAGACATCCTTACTCGGATACTACAAAGGAGATGCCATTAGCTTTCCTCACAGCCTGCTGCACCTCCATGCCAACCTTCAGCGACTATTCCACCATGACACCCAGGTCTCATTGCACCTCACCTTTTCCTAAACTGCCACCATTGAGGCAATAATCTGCCTTCCTGGTTTTGCCACCAAAAGTTTGAATGTGGGGTCCTCCAAGGTGCCTTTGAATTTGTTTTTCTGATGGATGGTGGTGTGTGTGATGGTGAGGTTGTACTCTGTGTGCTTTGTAAGAAGAACTCTATTAAATTTGGAGTTGCCAATACCGTCCCTTCCCATAATGCTGTTCCAAAGTTTGTGGCCTGGCATTGAAGGCTCCAAGAAGAATGATCTTGTCCTCCTTGGTGATGCTCGGCAACCGTGTGTCAAGGTTGGCATAGAAAGCCTCCTTTCGGGTCAGGGGTCGGAGCTCTGAAGAATGCAGCCGTCTTGTGGTTGATGAGCATCGGGTCATGAGCTGGTCGTTGATCCACACGGGAAGTTCAGAGAGGCAACCGATGAGCTGATTCTTAATTTTGAAGCTATGGCCCTCGTTGACAACCTCCCTGCTTCTATCTTATCTACTCCCTTCATAGTTTAATATGTTACATAAGATTCCCCTTCATTCTTCTAAATTCCAATGAGTACAGTCACAGTCTACTCAATCTCTCCTCATAAGTCATAACTCTCTCAGCTCTGAACCTCCTCTGCCCCTCTGTTGTGAATCCAATGCTGTGAATTCTGGGCCCATCAGTAACTTTCCCTTTTCCAGAAACCTTTTACCTTCCTTCAGTTGCCCTTCATTTGCAAGGCAGGTTTCAGAAAGAGCAGCTAGGTCAGTCTGGCATCTCTTCAGTTCTCTGGCTGTGATCAAAATTCTTCTGTCGGGTCGGTCACTGTTAGCTAGGTCCATCAGGGGTTCTTACGTACCAGGCTCTAAAGTTTATTATTGTTCAGGCAGAAGACAATGGAATATTGTCCTTCATTGCCAGAGGGATGGAGTTTAAAAACAGGGAGGTTATGCTGTAGCTGTACAAGGTGCTGGTGAGGCCACACCTGGAGTACTGTGTATGGTTTTGGTCCCCTTACTTGAGAAAGGATGTACTGGGCACTGGAGGGGGTGCAGAGGAAGTTCAGAGCTGAGAGAGTTATGAGAGTTATGTCTTATGAGGAGAGATTGAGAGATGGAGCCGAGTTCACGAAAAGATCTTATTGAATGGTGGAGCAGGCTCGATGGGCCAGATGGCCTACTTC